TCGCAACCTCATTGCTCCCGACTGTACGTTGCTGGAAAGCACCCGTAGTAGCTGTGTGTCGCTGTGACCCGCCCACCTGCTGCGTGCACGAAAATTTAAAATGCTAGGAATATTGAAAAGCACCCAGTGACAAGGATAAAGAACACCACCAGTGACGTCACGACCAATCGGAGGCAAGTGTCCTGATTGAGGCAATCTATACTATGTTAAAGAATCTCTGCAGAATCTCTGTCTTCAATGATGCTACAGTTGCTGCTTTTATCGCATGTGTAACGTAGTGTGACATTCCAGGCTGGCAAATACGATTTGAACAATTGTTCATCCTCGCACGATATTCCTTTTGCTTGATTTAATTTATTCGACCCATCGGTAAGTGTCTCGATATGTACCACGAAGAAATTTGTTAATTTGTTTACGACTATTGCACCCCTGTTACTTTTTACGCTTACGTGAAAAAAGATGTGACCTACTTGCCTTTTTCTCGCACGTGTTGCCAAATATTCACTTCAATATTTTTCCTAATCAACGTTTTATTCAGCCTTCCCTCACGACCTTAACTTCCGAGATGAGAAAACCGCATTTTAAAGAATTTTTGCTGTTATTAATATAGTTTTATATTGACACGAGAAATTTCTTAAAAGAAATTTTATTAATATTAAATTTACGTCAGTGGCTGGTGAGGATTTTTAGAAGCTTTTAATATACGTTTTTACTGTGTAAAGCAATTTGTTTCTTTCCAAAAATATTGGCAGTGCCATTGTACGAGAAATTTTTGAAAGTTAGGTCAGAAGAGAAAGTTTCAATGATTCACGTATGTCTTTTCTTAACCCTTGAGTATAAGTTGCTAAACTGTATTACGTTTAAATTCACGCCTGTTTAGTGTCGTATTTAATAATCTTTATTTCTGTCTTTAAGTATTGTTGTATTAAATCATATTTTATCACTGTCTTGGCACTACAAAGTAATCAATTTAAAATTTATGTTTGCATATATAAATTCTGAGTTTCTTTTAACTGACATAAGGTTTTTTCTAGAAGATCATCTACAATAAGTTGAAAAGTAAACTGGACGATGTCTGCAAACACAGCTGTGTTCAGGATTTGCAGAGGGAGCAGTATGGTTACTACATTTCTATGGAAATCACACAAGATTCTGCAAATCCACAGGACAGTCTGTGTTTCTGCGCGAGACAGATTTCACTCCAGCAACACTGATCGAGCCGAGAACAAGTTGGCAGTGAGTCAAAAGACGGACTGGAATAAGACTATGTCGGAGGCAGAGAAAATCGTTGGATATCCGACGTCTTTCTTAAGTTTAAGATGGTTATTGAGCGACGAGATTGCCAATGTTGCGTTGCACCTGAGGAAGCTGGTTGGATCCAATCATCCTGTATTGAAGACAGCCAAGTAAATTACCATGTGTGATGATGCTCTTCTGAAAATCAAAGCTTGATTTGTACATCTTTTTTTTAATGATAGGACTATTATTTACAATGGACGTAACACACAGGCATTTGGTCTTATCTTGCTGTTAATTTCCAAAGCTGCCGGTCACTTGAATGCAAAACCAATAGAAGAGGACAAGGCTGCAGGAGTATTACATAGGTAAACTGTACATTAATTGGAACGCTATTGCAACAGCATATTCCTGAGACCAAATCAAGTAAAAAAGGTCCTGTACCACTTTTCCTTGCGACAAACAGTTATCGAGATATCATAAGCTAAACATTGAAAAAGTTATAAATTTTCTCTTGAATATCTCAAAAGTATTAGGCAAATCAAAAAGTGTTTCAGACAAAAGTTCATATTAATGAGCAGAATAAGACAGTATAATAAATAATATGGATATAATAAACATATATATAGGATAGTATAATAAACAATAGGGGGTTTCATTTAAAAAATTGAAACTGACCTTTAGGTGACCTTCAACTATTCAAAGTCAAATTAATGACACCATCTTATGTCTCCCTCAAAACCCAACAACTTTTGTCTAGGTCATTTTTTGTCGGCCCCTTCCCTGAAGAAATATTTGCGTGCGTTGATTAAAATGATTTACCCTGTACATATAAAATATACATATGTATATACATTTTATTTCAGTCAAAGGGCGTTGGCAGAGATTACAGAGATGATACGCACTAGCAATTTGATACACAGAGGTCTGGTAAACCTAAATACAGATACAGGGTCTTTGGAATCTTCAGAATTAAATAATATAACTTTCGGTAATAAAATGGCATTGTTATGTGGTGATTACTTACTTAGCAACAGTTGCACTGAATTAGCAGCTCTCAAAAATCAGGATGTAAGTACAGTCGCCACTTTTCTCTCTTACGCTGTAATTTTAATTTAATAGAAAGTGAGAAAATTAAAGCGAATATTGTTTTTTTTAATTAAGATGCTTGTAATTAAAGAACACAATAACTTTCAGCTTTTGTTCTTAATATCGTCTGCAGTAAGAGATCTGTGCCAAGTGGAATTTGTAGCACGCAGGGACAATCAAAACTTTCCCATACCAGAAATTCCACCTGAAGACCGTACAGGTTACGCACTGAAGGAGTGGACGCTTTTAAACACTTACGGCGCTGGATCGTTGCTCGGAAAAAGTTGCCAAAGTACACTAAAAATTGCTGGTCACAGCAAAGAAATAGAGGAGAAGGGTTACGAGTTTGGCAAACATTTAGCTTTAGCTTGGCAGGTGACGTAAACTGTAGTTAAGTTTGGATCATTTTTGCAATAATTTCCTAAAACTATCGGACAGCATATCTTGCAACAATTGCGTTTCTACAGGCGTCCTTGGACCTGGGCTTGTGCATTAATAAAGATAAGGAAATTTTACATAATTTGTGCGCAGCTCCAATCATGTTCCACGTTGAACATGACCCATCAATTTTGATCGAGCTGGACAAGGGATTGGAATCAGTTGAGAACGTCGACTATTTAAAGGTTTTTTTTTAATGTCAATATTCGATAAGATTCGTGCTGGACTAAATTCTTTTCCCCACCTAGTCATATGTTGAATGAAATGTTTGCTTATATGAATAATATTTCATGTATGTAGGTGCTTGAAATTGTCACAGCCGGTCCAGGCATTGGATTAACTAAAGAGCTCGTGAAGGAACACTCGCAAAAAGCAATGGAAATCTTAAGTGTGTTTAAGGAAAGTGATGCCAGAAAGGCATTATCCAATATTATTGTTGCCATAGGTGACTTTTAACAAATAATATACTTTTTATTGTTTACTTGTCAGTAAACAACTTCAGAATTATATATATTGTATGTGTAAGCGAAATTATATAGGAAAAATATTGACAGTTAGAAAAGGTGTTAAAATATACGAATTTTTATATAACATTTACATATGTATATTTTTGAATGGAAATCAGGTGTTTTTATACGAAAATGTTGATCTTTTTTATATATCTTTTATATGTATACAGATATTTATATGTATTTATGTCGTATGTTAAATTTTTGTACTTTATAATGCAGTAAAACTGATATTTAATTAAATTATGTTTTGTAAATATAACGTTACTTTCAATACCTGCTTCAACTCCAAAAAAAAGTGTCGATACTTATATTTTTTAATAGTTATATTTATTGAAATTGAATGTAAAATATAATATTTGTGTAATATAAATATAAATATTAAAAGAAACTAACAAGGAAGTATTAATATAGGTAATATAAATATAATATTTATATTTTTTATAATATAATATAAAATATGATATAATATATATAATATAATATATTAAAAGTAAAAATTCGTATAATATATTAATACTTGTTAGTTTCTTTTATTACACGTATAATGATATATAAATATTTAATAATATTTTGTATTTAGATCTGTAAAATTTTACTTATTTACTGCTTGCTTTTTTCTTGATCACATAAGTGCTTTCGGATTTAGATTTTCAGCGCCCGAAGACTATAGGAAAATTTCAAAATGACGGACCCAATAAGACGGAACGAAATGCTAATAAATTTTATTAAGTCTGAGCGACTTATTTTTTAGGACTTTTTGAGTTGCTGATTAACAAATGTAAGGTAGAAAATTTTGAACATGTCAGATCTCTCTAATGTTACTGACAAAACATAAATGAAAAATAACATCAGTGATTTTTGTTGACCGTATCTGGCAATTTTTGTAATACAGAAAATTTATTGCGAAAAATATTATCTCAGCCAGGGTTTGAACCTGGACCTCCGTTCTCTCTAGGTGGGCGTCTCAACCAATTCGACCACCGAGGCATATGATAATATTAGTCGCAATAACAGTACAAAGATGTTGTTTACGCGTCTATTTCGACTTTTCAGAACTGCGCGCCGATAAGGGTTGACCGTACACTGAACTGTCGATAAATAAAAAATGTATCAATACAGTTCACATTTCGTGAATTTTTTTGAAGCACAGAGTGAGTCCTTACATATTGTGCGTAAACAATCAATATGCTTACATAACATTTCTTTTCTATTAATATAATACAAACGATACTGTAGTCATGTATCTGACTTTTTCAGTTATATACAGGGTGAGGAAAAAGTACCGGACCGGTAAAATATTTCGAAAAATATGGGAGATACGGAAAAATGTTTCAGACAAAAGTTGTACGGTTTTAAAAGAGCTATATAATGGTAAAATTAATTTTCGAACGAAATTAATTTTTTATGATTATATGGAGGTCGCCGCCATTTTTTTAAATGGAACCCCATCTTGTTTATTATACTATCTCATTCTACTAATTAATATTAACAACTTTTGTCTGAAACATTTTTTTATTTGCCTAATACTTTTTGAGATATTCAAGAGAAAATTTATAACTTTTTCAATGTTTAGCTTATGATATCTCGATAACTGGTTGTCAGAGGGAAAAGTAGTACAGGACTTTTTTACTTAATTTGGTCTCAGGAATATGCTGTTGTAATAGTGCTCCAATTATGGAAAATTTTTGTGTATTCTACCATCCACAAAATTTACATACACAAAATTTTCAATAATTAAAGCACTATTGCGACAGCATATTCCTGAGACCAAATCAAGTAAAAAAGTCCTGTACTACTTTTCCCTCTGACAAACAGTTGTCGAGATATCATAAGCTAAACATTGAAAAAGTTATAAATTTTCTCTTTAATATCTCAAAAAGTATTAGGTAAATAAAAAAATGTTTCAGACAAAAATTGTTAATATTAATTAGTAGAATAAGATAGTATAATAAACAATTAAGATGGGGTTCCATTTAAAAAAATGGTGGCGACCTCCATATAATCATAAAAAATTAATATTTTTCGAAAATTAATTTTACCATTATATAGCCCTTTTAAAACCGTACAACTTTTGTCTGAAACATTTTTCCGTATCTCCCATATTTTTCGAGATATTTTACCGGTCCTGTACTTTTTCCTCACCCTGTATATTTCTGTACTTTTGTTATGTTAACGGATACTGATATTTGTGTCCTTGAAATAACATCTATAAAAACATATTATTATTAAATCAGTGATCCTAAAAATCCTTGGAATATGAGTTTTAAAGAAAATTTTATATTTTGGTCTGCCATATTGGATCTGTCATTTTGAATTTAGAGAGAATACAGATTGAAAATTACTGATCCCAAAAATAAACTCGGTAAACTGTGAATTACGTGCAAGTCCCATTATTCCTAGAAAAAAAAGTCAGGATCCACGAAAGGGTCGAATGTCGTCCAGCGATAATTGTCGTACAGCACAATTATCATGTGTGGATTTGTAAGCGATATAATTTCTCCTTCGAAAGTACAATCAGGTATTTGTTTGTAGCGACGACGCCCATAATGGGGGAAGCTTGGCAATCAAGATCCACGATTCTTTGTTTGGCAGATTTCGCTCCGACAGCAGGCCTTTCGTACAGGAACACGTGTCTCGTGTGTTCTACTATAGCTATGTACGAACCATCTGCGGCAAAACAAGTGTAATTATGCTAATATTATTAAATAAATTAATCGAGTTATCACTATATTACACAGTTATTGTTTATCGTTAAATTGAAGGAATATATTCAAAATATATATCTCTGCTGCTTTACCAATGGGAGACACGCAAAACTTTTTATTGGTCTTGCTGGCCTCGACGTAGCCAAATCCAGGAAAACTGAGGACATGTCGTAGACTCCATTGAGCATCTCCGTCGCCAATTCTCCAAATGCAGGCATCGTGATCGTATCTTAAGCACACTGTTTGACCGTGTTTTCCCTTGTAGGTGAACAATACATGATTGTTGCTCCCTAATCGAGCTAGATGCGTGGTCGTTCGTGTGAGAAAGTTGATTCTTTGCAAAAAATTATCCTTTCCCTCGAGATCGCACTCTTCTAGTTGCTCAGCATTGAATCCCACACAAGGCTGATCCCCACCAGCATTGTTGTCTTGTTGATCTGTGCACAAATGCGCTAGCCTGTGTTGCAAATAATTATTAAAATATAATAGAATAAAATAATATATCTGTAAATATTTAAATGTCACATGAAATGCCAAATGTAGAATATCATTAAATTAAAGCTGATACTACATGCGTACGTATAGCAATTTTATAAGCACCTCGTATGAATTTCCGCGGCTAGAACTTCGTTGGGCAAACATTCACCTCCAGTGTCGCCTTTAATTAATTCGCTCCACATCAATCCACTTTCATGTTTACTTAGCTCGACTTGCAATGCGCCTTCTTTGTGCCTCCAAGTCGCCACATTCTCTTCCAATCTGTGCTGACATTCCCCTTGTATCAACGTTTCGTCATCTATCGTAACGGACAGTTCTAACGGCTTGACGCTTATTCTGGGCCGTTTATCGCTACGGTCCTTCGGTACTTTAACCCAAACGGTCAGCGAGTCTTCGTCCTGCGACCAATAGTACTTTGGAATCCTAATTTGCGAACTAACGCCCGGGTGTTCCGATCTGATCTCGGAGACCTGCGCGTTTTCAACACCAACATTGTCGTTCTCAAAACTAATGTTATCCTGACAAATGGAGTGCAAGTAATCTCCGTTCTCTTCCACACAAGCGTAGTCCACGGTGCCCTGTACTTTCAGTATCTGCTTGTCGATATTGTGAACTTTCGTCGCTCCATCTTCCGTGCACAAGCTGTACGACAGTAACACAAGCTGCGTATATTTTTTCTGGCTGTCATCCGCAACGATAGCGCACATGGTTACAATAACTTTCGAGCTCTCCTCCACATATTGGACATTCATGATGACTCCAGATTCTTCGGGATTCATTAGAAACACCTTCCTATTTTCCCCTGCGTATCCTATCAATATGTGCAAGTTTCCACCACCATCAGAAATTACCACAATATCATTCGAGGTGAATCCGATTGACGGATTGTACGTTACTTTCGACGACTGTGCATCCACGTGTAATTCGTACACTTGATCTAAGGAACTGTCTTCATCCAGACGCCATACGGCCCAGGTTTCGTCGATAAACCAGCACGACGTGTCGTACACGTTGTTGAATAAGTGATTGTGAAAAGCAAAAAGCCTCGCCTCCAGCCAGGATTCTTGATTCTGATTTGGCTCCAATCTGTATACATCTGAAATATTTCTTGAAAGTTAAAAGACCTTTGCCTACGTTCCGTATTTTATATAAAATTGTACGTATATAGTACTGGACAATTACAAACACATGTACTTACGATTCTTTAGTTTATTTTCAGAAATTATAGGAACAGCTTCGTTGGAAAACTGATACTTTTCGAAAGTTGAGTTTATCAAACTTTTATTGGGGCGTAAGTCGATTATCTCTGTCATCGTCTTTTTATATCAATGCAAGATAATATCGAAAAAAAAATTTCATTCAACACGAATTCTTGAATTGACGGGACAAACTAACCAAACCTGTGATTGCGATCGTAACGACATCTAGTGTCAATTACTTACATTACATTAAAGCGGGGAGCACACACATAGGGTGCATTCGTTTATGCAGCTCTTAAGCCCAATGTCCACGATCCAAGAACTGTGTCAAAGTTCTAGTTTCGAGAAATGCGCAGCCAATCAACATGCAGCTTGTATGGAATAGCTGCAAGCTGATTGGCTACGCATTTCTCGAAACTAGAACTTGGACACAGTTCTTGGATCGTGGACATTGGCCTTTAGGGTGGAGTCCCATGGAGCGGAATACGCGGAAGCGGAATCAGCGGATCGCCAATCACAAGACTGTTTCGACGGAATTTTTGAAAGGGCTCTATCAGAATAATCTTGCGATTGGCGATCCGCTGATTCCGCTTCCGCGTATTCCGCTCCATGGGACTCCACCCTTAGCGCATCCACTGCGTCTCTCATCTGCTAATCACGTGACGTAATTTACCGAACGGACAACTGCGTGAACGACTGCTCGGACGTTTGACTCCTCCCCTTTGTTTAGAGGTTAGGTATTAATTATTTAAATTTGGAGAAAATATTATGACGACCTTAATTATTTAAATTATGTCTTTAAACACATTTTATTAAAGAAAAATTCTCCTTTCAGAAATCATAATGATTTTCATGCAATGGACTTGATCGACAGTAGCTCATCAGATTCTGATTTATGGTCAGATAGCTCTGATGAAGAGCAACTATTATTAGATGATACGGTATTGTTTATTTCATTTATTAATTCAGATAACATATTAAAAGTTTTAAATAAATATGATATTATATAAGAAGAAAAATAATAGAGCTATAAGTGATCCACAAAGGATACTTATAAGCATATATTCCAAGATTAATAATAAGATCGTGACAAACATTTCGACTCATAATCCAGACTTATTGAGGAATTTTAATTTTAATTTTAATTTTAATTTTTTTCTAGTTTTCCATATAACTTACTTTGCATTACTTTCAGTTTTATAGGATCGATTTGAAGCAGCTAGGTGATCTTGACCCTTTGGGTTTTATTTTTATAAAACAACTCATTTTTAATTAAAAGATGTTCAACATAAATTCGACGTTAATGATGGATAGCACTAACAGACAATTCTTGCTTTCCAGACAGTTTTCCGTTTTCTTACGCAGTACTGCAAGCAGAGCATCCAGAGCAGGACCTTCGAAGTAGCTGCGCAGATAGGATGGATCTCTGCGTAAACGAACGACAAACTGCGCTGCAGTCGTTTTCGCAGGCAGAGTAAACGAACTACATCTGCTGCAGTCACTGCGTAAACGAATGCACCCTTTTGCACAAGTGGATATATGCATAACGAATTTGATTGGTCCATTTTCTTATGCATTTGCTTATAGACCAATCAAATTCGTTATGCATATGTTTATGCATTTAAGGCCTTTGCACGTAAAAAAGCGTTAACCGTAAAGGTGCATTTTCATGCTGACGCTTGACGCTCACTTCGAGCGTCAAACTAGTGACTCTGGGGACTTTTTTGAATTGTAGCGTCAAGTGGAAAAAGCTAAAAAGATTTTAGCTTTCCTTGGCGTTAACAGCGTCAATTGTGCAATTTAAAAATATTGGCGAAGGAGTTTGCTTATTTCAATTACACGCTAAATAGAGCGTCTTGGCACTCAAATCGAGCGTCAACTCGAAGTCAGCG